ACCCACAAGGATGAAATTACAGTACACCTGGTGTTTATCAGTGCTTCAACAGTGCTTTGTGTTTTTGGTTTGCAGGTAGTGTATATGCCCTCCATTTATGCCGACTTTCTTCTAATTGGCTGCCCCTCGTAAATTGAAGGTGTGACATCACCTGTTAGTTTCTAGATTTCCATTTTGAAGCTTCGAGATGAACGTTTTTGTCGCTGCCATCTTGCTCGCCAGAAAATGGATGTGACACGGACTCTGGCTCTGATTGATAACTAGTTAGCTCATGAGTGTGTGATTTCCATATCTTAGGTAATCCTCCATTTTGAAACATGGTATGACCAAGATTTACAGAATAGGTTTCATTTTTTTATTTGATGTGCCCCTAAAGAAGTAATTGATCCCATAAACTCAGCAGTGTTCACAGAGGTCAAGAATGAAAGCTTTTCATGGAGATTTCTATAATCAGAGCTATCGCCATCTGGTGGCCTTCTGATAGAATGCAGGTTTAAAGCTCTTCCCCCTCCCTGTGATGTTATAGATCAGGGGTCTCAAACTTAAATGACCGGTGGGCCGCTGCTGCCGCTGTCATCTCGTTGGAGGGCCACTTTAGTGTTCAAGTAGTAAAAAAAACAAACAATGAACCAAACAAGAAAACACCCACAAATATTGTCTTGTTTGTTTTTTTAAAATTTCAAATACTTTTGCCCCCCTAGGCTGCGTGATTGAGACCTCTGTTATAAGTTATAGGTGGACAGATTGATCAAAATACAAATAATTTCAGTACCAGCACTGGTATTAGTATCAGACTGATATCAGTAGCTCCCGATAAATGGACATTTACATCATTTTTTGAAATGATAACCTTGTTTTATAGAAGCTTCCACCATCACAGCAGTGTGTCTATGTAAATGTGTGAGTTTATGTAAACAGTTTGGTCCATTCTTCCCTACAACGTTGCTTCAGTTCATTCAGGTTTGCAGGCATTCATTAATGCCACAATGTCACAGTATTTCAGTCAGACTCTGACTCGGCCATTGCACCTTTTGTCTGTGCTTGGGATTATCGTCCTGTCACATGACTTTCATGACTTTTACATGACTCTAGAACACTTTGGTATACAGATGCGTTCACTGTTAACTCAGTGACTGCAGGGTTTCTACAACCTGATGCTGCAAAACAGGCTCTCCAAATCATCAGCCCTCCACCATCCTCCCTGACAGTTGGTATCAGGTGTGCTGGTATGTTGTGGTTGAGTTGCTCCAGAAAGCTTGAGGTTTGTTCAGATGCAACTTTGCAAACTTAAGCTACCATGTTCTTTTTAAAGAGAACGGGCTTTTTCCTGGAAACCTGTCCAAAGACACCATACCCGTTCAGTCTTTTTCTAATTGTGCTGTCATGAACTTCTTAAATTCAACATGCTGACTGAGGCCTGCAGAGTCTGAGACATAGTTCTTGGGGGGCTTTTGTTACCCCTCATCTATACTAAGCTGATGGGACATTGTTATCACCTGGCCAGGCGGTGTGGACACGTAAGTTTGCAAATGCGATAACTTGAGAACCAAGCAACATAAGAGCTTTAAATTGATACCATAGGTGTATCTACTAAAAATCTCTAAGTTTGAATCTCGGTGAGCTCGAGAGGCCTTTAATTTAAAAACACGTGAGCTCATCATTTCCGTTTCTTGTTTTTCAGCCTCGTGTTTGCCACACCACTCTGTTGTGCTTTATTCCCTCAGAAAAGGTGAGTGAACCATTTTGAAGTTATTAGTAGTAAATCATCTTATTATTATGTGGATATATGCATGAGTCTTTTTCTGCCCAAAAGGATGCATTACATGCCTACATTGTATGCATTTGACCCATTAACCCCTTTTATTTATTTTTTGCCCTCTAATCCAGCTCTATGTCAGTCAGCCGCTTGGAGCCGGAGCTGCAGGAGAAAATCCGTGCCAACCACCCAGGAGTGGAGAGGGTTTACTTCAACAAAGGGCTATGAGTGTGTGCAACTCCCCCAATCACCGCCCAACCTCATCCGAACACTGCCATAACACAGCTGCAGACTCGCTCCTCACGTCTCTGCCAGCTCTCCTCATTCAGTGTGCCAAAGTTAAGTTTTTCTCTCCTCACCTCCACCGATCCAGATGGATATCTGAGGACTCCCCCTCGCTGTCAGCCTCTTTGTAATGAGCTGTTCACGTTTGTCAGTGATTGTAGATTTTACTGAAACTGCTGAAGATGTTCTCCAAGCGGGATTAAAAGTTTGATGTTTATCTCGACAGATGTTTAGTGGCCCATCGTAAGGTTTTCTTCTGTGCCATATGTTTTTATTACTTTAATGTCTGTGACTTGTTGATCTTATGTTGCCATGAAACCACTGTCACATCTGTCTGCCCGGCGGTTTTTCTTTTTTCTGGTCTTTATTCTGACTAGTCAGATCTGATTACATTTGCCAAATCTGTACTTTTTAAACCTCTGTCAAGGATTTCAACCTCCTGGTATTCACTTTAACTCACCTGCCAAATGAGTGATACTAAACAAGCCTTCTCCAGGGATACACCCTTTAAAATGGGATGTTATAATAGGCCAGCACGGTGCTATTTCATGTCTGAATAATCAGTGTTTATTGTTCTATTTATTCTAATTGCCAGACAGGTGTGAACAAACCACTCTCTGGCTTGTTGAAAAGTATTCTTCTGCCTCTTTAGTGACACAGAGGCTGTGTTCAGGAACACTGACAATAAATGTTAAATTCATATCAATCATTTCAGAAAAAAAACGCTGGTTCTCACTTCTACCAAGCCCAATTCTAGTATGAGAGATCTAATAACAAGGTGGCAGAAGTGTTTTTACATCGTTATATGCATTTAGAGTGTCAGATATAGATGTTATAGACTTCTCATGGATGCTATTTGTCAACGCCACACCTAAATGGTTCATCTCGCTAACACTCTGCCTGCTTTGAAAACTTCAAACAGTAACACATTTCGAGTCCGGTGAGTTTGAGGAATGCACAAACTCCCAGCCAAAAAGATATCTGAAGCAAAGACCTCCAGCGCCCCCTTTTACTTTATCTGCACCTCAGTCATATCTGCACATGCCATGACCAAGTTCAAGCCAAGCGAGCTGATAAAGCAGGTAGATTTTATGCTCTGTACTTTTGTTCTGCAGTCAGGATTCAGATAACGCGTGTTTGGACACAGTTGATTAACCTGTTGCGTCTAAAAGAATGTGTCTGTAAACTGTTGTAAACTCGCTTTCGGTGCCAGGCCAAGCGCATCACCGGACATTTTTAAAATCACGAGTGGGAGAAAAAAAGAACAAAGATTAACTCAAAGCAACAAAACTCACACCTTTAACCCAACTCAAATGCGTTTCTGGAACCCAGCGTGCATTCAACAAAAAATTAAATGCTTTTGAAATATTTACAGACTCCTTCCCATATGATGTAATTTTTTGTGAGGTGTTTTTAAATGTTTAAACTCTGTAATCTCTTTGAATTTATCGCTGTAAAATTACAATTCTAGATTTTCAGTGTTTTCAGAGAGACGCCCTGGAGCTCTCTCCAGTTTATTTGAAGTGAAATTTGTTATTCTCGTGTTCATGGTGAATGAATGTAGCACTTTCCAATTCCAGCTGTTTGCGGTGTGTCTAGAAAAGCACAATGTTGTAGCAGATTTCCAAATGCTGCACATTTTTAGAACCACACCGATTTCAGTCCGTGCTTGATCAGTTAACTCTAACAATTAAGAAAATTCAATTTACCAAATCAAATGAAATTTCAACACAGCCAAAGCGAGACGAATCAACTCGAGAGGAAGTCGTTTATAGCTTGCATTAATAATTTTTAAAATACTGTGACAAAGAATGTTTTCTGATTGTTTTGCAGTACACTGGGGTGATGTAATGTTTTGACTAACCAGATGAAATAAACTTGATAAAATCCCACAGCGAGGGTCGTTGTTGATCCACAGTGCCATCTAGTGGCTTAAAGCAAAAACAGCAATGTGATGTTACGAAAGCATTTTTATTCTAAAAGGCACACAATGTTCAGAAGAACGCGCAAACATGGACACAGATATCTGAGGCCTTATGGACACTTGAAAAAGGCATTGCACAAAAACAGCATTCTGGCAGAACTGACCAGACCAGAGTGCATCATGGGGAAGTGGCAGGACGTGCTGATGTACTTCTCATCAGGAGGAAAAGCAAGAGAGAAATAATTCGGAAACCAAAATAGCTCAACTGTTTTCTAATGATTCACAACAGCAGTGGCTGTTCAGCAGCATCCTCAGATCTGGTGGGATCTAAATAGTACTGAACTATTACTATTATTCTAGCGTTTGCTTCTCAGTAACTTGTTTGGCGGACTGCTGGGACACAGCTGTGTTTACTCTGTTCGTGCTGAGTCTCTTTGATCAAGTGCAACAGCATCAATCCTATTAAAAAGGAAAGAAAAAAGCTGAGAAAGTGACAGCCTTGCATTAACGACAGAAACACAAGAACAGTAACACAACCTTGCTTACTGCAGACACAAGGAAGGACACGACGGCATTTAGAGTTCAGCCATTTCAAAACACAAGCCTAATTGCAACAACTCAAAGACATCCAAGAACATCATAATCCATGTAACAACTTCTGCTTCGCTGCAACAGCAAACAATCTTCACATACATTGACAGATGACTGACTACAGCTGGAGCGAGTTGACGCATGCTGAAACTAGAGCTTAAATCGACCTTCAGCAGACCTCTGCTCACACTTTGTGAAGATCAAGTCCAAGATAACCTCTGAATGCTGCTATCTTTGGAATGTGTTGAAATGTGCCGGGTGGCACTTCAACTGGCACTTTAGGTAACACTGACATTCACATCTCACTCCTTGCTTAACAATCCCTTTTGCAGCTTGTTATAAAGTTTTTATGCATAACTTTTCTAAGCAATCACACATTTTTTGGGAACGTCAAAATCATAATTTACATTTTGATTCAAGAACTTCATGTTTTACATTGATGTAGTGAAAAAAAAAATAGATAAATAATAGTATAAATAGTTTGGAATATAATTATACAACACTTTTCCATTTAGGGAGATTAACTAAAATAAAACTCTACTCTGTCCACTCTTAGGAAGGGCACCGCTGTTTAAATGTCTTTGGATAGATGTTCAAGATTGTAAAGTTGCAACGATGATCACAGCTCTGCTTCCTGGATGTGGCACCTGCTTCATGGCTCTGAAGAAGCTGACACGGGAGAGTTGTGGATTGTAGTGTCAATGAGTTTGTCTAAGAGTGTCCCCAAGAGCGTAACCTCAACAAAACCCATCTCATCATAGTCTGAAGAGTGTGATCAGTGGGTTGGGCTAAAAGAAAACAAGGGAAAGCTTTCTTCACGTAAACAGTGCTGGCCTGAGGGCACCTACAGCAGATGGAAGGGCCATTATTCAATGTAACCCTTTTGACTTAGCATGGCCCAGCCTGGAATAAACGCACTTTCTATTGTAAGCTCCTCAGATTCAACACAAGTCATCCTCGTGGCTCGCAGCGTCCCCGACCAGCAGCGAGTGTTTGTCGGGGTCGCCGAGCACGAAGCTGTTGACTGAATGCTTGTCAGAGCGCAGCGAGTTGATTGAGGCTCGACTGTAGTTGACGATGCGGTCTAGCAGACTAAGTTTGGGGGACGGGCGACGCATCTCGCCCATGCCGATGTGGACGCTGACGTCAGACAAGCTGCCCTGCCGCCTGCTGGTACCCAGTCTGGCCTCCAGCTTCTCTGCAGTGGGTTTAGTGTAACTACATAAAGATGAAGGGGATAAAATGGACAGAAGCTTTTATGAATTAACACAAAATACACACAAAATACTTCAACAAAACCCCAAATATTTCATTACCATTTAAGTAGAAGCGAGGACAAAACCACAGAGACGGATGACAACGCCATGGCAGCAGAGCCCATCCACGGCTGTAACACCAGGCCGATGGGAAGGAACACCCCTGTAAATAGATGAGGTTCGTATTTCCACAGAGCTCAAAGTGATTTCACTATGATACTAAAAAAAGTGGATGACCTCACTCTGCATTCAGCCCACCAAAGAACCTACCAGCAGCAATAGGAATTCCAACCAGGTTGTAGATAAGAGCGAAGACAAAGTTGATCCTGATCCTCTTGACGGTCTTTTTAGAGAGGTCAATACTGCCGACCACATCCAGCAGGTCATTCTGAAGACAAGAGAACAACACTGGGTAAATGAGCAGGGCGTTAATAGCAATTTGTGGCAAAAAGGTGAAAAAGTTGAAATGCTTTAAGTAAAATCCTCTCAGCACAAAGCTTTAAAAAACAAACAAAAAACAAAACAGATCAACTGTTTTTATTTCAGTCTACAAGGTTTTTTATGTTAGACTTTTGTTTCTCAAGTTGGAGAGTCACTGGTGACCTGTTGCGTTGTCTGCATGCGATTCACATCATGCTAAATATCATCTGTGCCGCTTTCATGTTACAAAACAGACACCTTTGTCGGATCAGATTCTCACCCTGATCAGCACCACATCTGCGGCCTCTATGGCCACATCTGTCCCGGTTCCTATGGCGATGCCCACGTCAGCCATGGCCAGAGCGGGCGAGTCGTTGACGCCGTCACCCACCATGGCGACCCTCTTTCCCGCCTGCTGCAGCTGTTCCACTTTGGCCACCTTGTGGGAGGGCAGCACCTCAGCGAACACTTTCCTGATGCCGACCTGGTGGACAAAAAGCAGAATGATGAGCTCAGGAATCAAACACGTGTTGGGTTTCCAGCTTAATATGACATTAAAGCAGAAAAGCAAAAAATCGAAGCCATCATCTCTGTTACAACTTCACCATCTAGTAACAAAAGTCTAATGATAGCATCAGTATTAAGCAGCTCTTCATTCGTCTGCTTTGCTTACCTGAGCAGCAATAGCCCGAGCTGTCTTGCTGTTGTCTCCAGTCATCAGCACAACTTCCAGACCCATGTTGGTCAGCGTGTGGACCGCCAACTCAGCCTCTGGTTTCACTGTGTCTGCTATGGCTATCATTGCACACAGCAGGTCTATGCACAGAAAAAAAGGTTTTTAAGTTTCAAGCAGTCAGAAAGTGAGAGAAAAAGAGTCAATTTTAACATTGCTACTCACCGTCTACGGCCACCAGAACAGCAGTGCGTCCTCTGCGCTCGTGCTCGATCATGGCTTCGTCGATTTCAGGTGTGACTCGCAGGCAGTTCCTCCTCATCCACTCCCTGTTCCCAATCAGGACTACATAGGTGGCTGTCTGAACCAGGCCTGCAAACAACAGCAAGAAGGCATAAAAGCAAGTGAAACACAACTTTACAGCAACTGTAATCGTGCAGTAGGAATGCACTTCCAAACATACTTTGCGGCTGTGGGTCCATGATGAGTGGATGGGAGCTGGTGCATATCCGGCTGTCGCTGATCTGGACTAGGACACTGTTGCGCTGGTTGTTGTCCTCGCTGTCACTGTCCAACTGCTTCAGCAGACTCTCTGTGTTGCTCACCTGACATCGGATGCCACAGCCCGGCACCGCCTGAAAGTCCACGCACGTGCCAAGAGACTCTGTGCCAAGCTCCTGCACGCAAATAACAATGGATCAACATCTTCCACATATACATTACTGTAGATTATCATTCATCTCACCGTGGGGTCAAATCTGATGAAAGGCAAACCTGTTTGCAGTATTTGGTAATAGCGGCTCCGAGCGGGTGTTCACTGTTGTTCTCAGCTGTGGCTACAATGGCCAGCAGGCGGGAGCGAGGCATCTTATTCCCCTCCACCGCGATCTTTACTTGAACAACCTTTGGGGCCCCGTATGTAATGGTGCCGGTCTTGTCAAACACCACAGACTGAACCTGCATATGAAAGATAATATTATAAGTTATTTACTTTGTGACCCCAGAAATGATATCTAAATATAAAAGACGTTTATCACCTCCAGCATCGAGAATTCAATTATTTATTCATGTGTCTCATCTTTAACAGTCTTTAAGATTTTTTTAAAATATTTTTTAACAATTAAAGCAGGAGATGGGAATTTTTTCAGAATAACAGCTCTCAAGCAAATTAAAGAATGTGGAAAAATTATTACAATTCATGAAACAGAAAACTACAATATAAAAATACTGGCGCCCCCAGTGCTACCCTTCAGGCTTCTAGTAGATATACCTACTGTATCAATTTCAAAATCCTACAGCACCTTGTTCTCAGAAAACTCTGACCTTGATCATGCGGTCACAGAGATTGTAAACTGAGATTTTTAGTAGATACACCTATGGCATGAATTTAAAACTCCTCATTCGAGTTATCGCATTCACAGACATAACAGGGTGATGATAATACCCTGATAACCTCCTGAAAACTGGGGGGGGGGGAATCTTCCCATTGAACATTTTTTGTTTGACATGTTTTTTGTGATTTCCTTCCTCTTTGAAGCTAAAAGAGGCCACTCAAACACATGACATATATATCAGTGGAAAACCCAGGATGTCCTCTATTTAGTACATCAGGACTTAGTAGGGTAGCTCAAATAAGTCAAAAGATATAGACTAACAACAAAATGTCCATTACAGAAGACATAAATGAATAAGCTGGTTTTCAGGAGGATCATACTTGAGAGGTGAAAATAACCCACTAAAACAAAAATACAGTAAATGCACTTGTGAGGTCTAAAAAGCTCATTTTAGATGATGGAAATAAATCACTATGCATGTCACGTAAACGAATAAGTGCATACATGTGGCACTACATCGATAAATCAAATTTAATGCATTCAGTCTCACCCATCTGATATCTGCCTGCATTTATATAATTAGAATTTTATTCAACGTGTTAAAACTGACAGATGCTTTCTCATATATAACCGCCTGGCTAACACAGAGGTGTCAGAAAATCATCATTAACACACCTTATGCGCCATCTCAAGTGGCTCTCCCCCCTTTATCAGGATACCATTTTGGGCTCCGACCCCTGTGCCCACCATGACAGCTGTCGGGGTTGCCAAGCCAAGGGAACAGGGACAGGCGATGCATAACACGGTTATGGAGGCCTGGAAGGCGAAGCGAACCACAGCCTCAGTCCTGGAAATGGATTTGTCGTAACCCTGCGTGAAGGAAATGATGTTAGCTTTTTTCCAATTCATAAAAATGACATAAAACTGAAGTAAAAAGGAAAAGAACTCACAGGAAAGTACATCTCCACCAGAGAGAAGTTCAAAAAGCCAATGATGATCCAGGCGATCAGGGTAAGCACAGATATGCCAACAATGAAGGGTACAAAGTAGCCACTAATTTTATCTGCATACTGCTGGATAGGAGCCTAAAAATACAAAGTAAAGACATAAACACTTGTACAGCGTTACTCTCAAAGCTGGTATATACAGTGCACAGGCCAAACCATGTAATTCACCTTTGAAGTCTGAGCCTCCTCCACTAGTTTGACAATCTGAGACAGCGTAGTGTCCATGCCAACATGTGTAGCACTGACAAGCAGAGAGCCGTTCTGGTTAATGGAGCCTGCAATCACAGAGCTCCCGGGCTTCTTCGTCACTGGCATGGCCTCACCTGGAGTCATAAAGCAACAGCTGGTCAAAAAGCTGCAGTACAGGTAAGAAAAAAATAAACAAAACACACCCACTAATATTTGGTTTGGTTCCCATAGCAAGTTGCACTCCAACCAGATGCTTTTGGCCTTCTGGAGAAAGGTTTTAAGGTCAGACAAGACAAAGACTGAGCTATTTGACCACCTTGACAAGAGGTATGTTTGGAGGAGAAAAGATGAGGCTTTCGCATCTAAGAACACTGTCAAGCATGGTGATGGTAGCATCGTGCTCTGGGCTGTTTGTTGTCAGTGGATGCCATGTAACAATAATAAAATAACAATAAAGGAATTCTTCACCTTCCCCTGAAATCAACAGCCAGAAACACACAACAAAACTGCTTCTGGAATGAATGAAGCAGGCTAACATTAAGCTTCTGAAATTGTTTTTTCTCAAAGTCTCAACTTCAACTTCAACTATTAGAATTTTTTGGATTACGCTTAAAAGTCAGGTCTGTGCCAAGAAACAAACTAATTTAAATGAACTCTACCAATTCTGCCAAGAGAGGTCAAATGCCCAGGAAGAATTATGCCAAGGTTGTTGATGGCTACCAAAGGCACCTGGTGAGGTGCAACTGGCTGAAAGAACTAAATATTAATTCTAGATTAGAGAAAATCTAAAATAAATCTAAACTTATGAACCAAATTCTTGTCTTTTTAAAGTAATAAAAGATGTATCCTGTACAATCATTCCACCCTAGAAAAATAACATTTCAAAGAAATGATTAAAAGCTCCAAATGACCATGAGATTCATGCCCACGATGAGCATAAGTGACCTATTAACACTTTTTATAGACATCCAGCACCAGTCCATGCATAGATACAGGTCCTACAATTAATGACGACCAACCTGTGATGAGGGACTCATCGGCCATGGAATGTCCTTCAATGACTCTCCCATCGACTGGAAACTTTCCCCCAGGAACGACTTTGACTATATCACCTCTCTGAACCAGTTCCACATCCACCTGCTCCTCACTGCAACAGACAAACATAAAATAATGTCAAACACTATTTCTACAAATGTTGTCTATTTCAACAGGTACTCTAACTGCAAACATTTCATTATGTTGTCATTTAAAACCAAGTCAACATGTGTAAGGTGAGGGTAGAGAACCAGGAGTACCTGAGAACTGAATTATCACTGCCGAGAGTGACGACTGTGGCCTCAGTGGCTTGTAAAGACATCAGTTTGGACAAAGCCTCAGAAGTCTTGCTCTGGAAGACGGCACATAAAACAATTTGACTTTTTATACATGTGTGTCGATTTGCAGACTTTTCAAAAAAGTAAAGTTACTTGAAATGTCACAGATATTAATAAATATGAGCTAAACCTTGGCTATCTGTTCCAGCCAGCGTCCCAGAGAGATGAAGACAAAGAGCATAGGTGGTGTGTCGAAGAACGTGATGGGATTGACTTTTGCCTTCTCCGCTATGGCCACAATTAGGACGACGCATGAGTAGGTGAAGGCTATGGAAGTGGCCAGAACAATTAGCACATCCATGTTGGCAGACTTGTGTTTCACGGCTTTCCAGGCTTGAACGTAGAAGTAGCGACCTCCAATAAACTAAGGAGAGAGAAAAAAACAAACAAAACAGAAATCATTAATATGACTCCACGACTTTTCTCTCCTGAGGGCAAAAATTAATACTACTATTACTACGACTACTACTACTAAAAGTTCCCTATCATGTTTCCTGGGAGTGAAGTTAATCCCTGTGATTTACCTGGACAGGCACACAAAACAGGAAGGAGAGGAGGTTCATGATGGAGAGGCCTGGGAGCAGCTGTCTCTCCAGAAACATGGTGGAGTGGTAGCGGTTGCGGTCCTCTGCCGTATTGTTGTGATGATGTGAAATTGTCATCTGGTGGTCCATAATAATCATGTAGATCATCATACCCATCACAGGCACACAGAAAACCAAGCTCACAAGGAAAGACTTCCTCCACCTTAGCAAGGGAAGATAATATTCACTTAGTAACAGACTTTTTTAAAACAGCAAAGCAAACATATGCTGACTTTAATAATCATAACAAAAAGAACCAAGACACAACTCTCTCACAGCCAGTATGACTAAACAAAACTACATTCATACACATTTGGAGCAATATTTTGTGGGGCGATATTATAATGATATTTATTAAATAACTATAAATGCTCTGGGAATACTACAAACAACAGGGCTAATCTCATGCACCAAAACCCTGAGATAATGTTAGTCGAGCCAACTTACATTAAATCATCTCAACTCAAAAACCGTTAAACACTGGTAACACTTAGCTTGACAAAGCAACCTCCTAATTCACACCAAGCTAATGGCTCAGCCACACAAGTTAAATAAAATAAAATAAAAAGGGTTGCTCAGAGCTTGAAGGTCTTACACACTCACAATGACTTTAGATCGAAAGTTGAGTGAACAGGTCGCCTGGTCACAGTCTGACTTGAACTGACTGGAATCACTCAGAGAGATTGTTGAAGGTTTGACAATAACTGCAGTCTAATTTATAAATGCAGACAGATGCCAACATGCTGCCATCAGTCTGATTATGTTCCTATAGTACAGGAAGGCCACAGAGTATCAATGTCAGTTAAATTTCTGCTGAATGTGTAAATATTTCTATCTTTAGTGCAACACGTGTGATTTTCAACCACTTATCACACTTCACAGATAGCATGTTATTGCCAGCTTGACCCCATACAAATGCAGAATGATATCAGCCTGCAGTTGAATGGGGTCTGATATAAGACTGATACCAGACTGACCCGGTCTTATGACGCCACTTATGCCTGGCTTTCAAGCCAGTGTTGTACGGTTAACAGTCTATTTGGAGGAAAACCTAAATAAATAAATAAATGAAGTGAGATAACATTATTTTAGATAAAACAGATAATAAAGTTTACCTCTGCTGATGAAAGAACAGGTGACAAATCGCAATAATTGTTACTGCAATACTCAGCATATTTCAAAATGTTAAAAAGTGCAATAATACGAAATAGTAAATGAAGTAGTATGATAACATCGTATCATGAGGTGTCTGGTGATTCCCACCTCTCCTAAAATATTTGATCTCTGACAGCATTTTTGGATGCTTGTAGAAACCACAGGTTTGCAGGTCTTATTAGTATTATTATTTTTTAAACAGCTTTTTATAAAATGGCACATGATATTATTTAAAATAGTGCAAATCAAGTAAATGGCTTCAAAAACATAAAAAATTTGAATAAAGAAAAATGACAGTTATATGCTCCAGGTACGACACATTGTGCTGTATCCTCAATTTTGCCCTGCAATTTTCAAATGAATACATGTGCAGCTGAGTGTAAGGTCAGTCTTACAGCGTCTGCTCCCATAGGCATGCGAGAGGTCGCTTGGATCTGAAGGACGTAAATAAGAGAGGGACTAAAAACAGGGCTCTGTCCCATGACCTGCAGCAAGACACGACACTACAATGCTTAATTACGCATGCACCCTCCAAGTGGACTTGGCCTTCGTGGCCTTGCATATGAAATGTTTTCCCTCAGCTGAGAGTGCTTTTTAGAGCTGAATATGAAAATAACCTCCTCTGAAGCATATTACATGTGCAACTTAACTTAGCTCGATTACCTTACTGGGTACAAAGAGAGCTACATTTGTGACACTGACAACTAGCTTCAAGCTCAACATACCTCATTAACTGATTACTTTCAATCCCTAGCATCACTCTCTGATAAGTTTACATTTTACTGCCTATAATGGCCTAAGCACTTCACTCTACAAAAAGATTTTTCTTAGGAAAGTCAGATAAACGATCAAGCCAACATTCAGATGAACAAAAAGGAAAAAGAAAAAGAGTTTGAACACCAGACTCATGTCCCAACACAGTATGGTAACATACATAACTACACAAAAAACAGATTTTTAAACTGACAAACACCAAATGCTGCTTACTGTCGTATCTCTTTGCTGTGGTCCAGGTGGCTGGCAGTGCGGTCCCTCTTTACCAAAGACGCTTCGAACCCTAGATTCTACAGAAAACAAACTCCTGATGAGGCCTTTAAAGACTTTTATCCAGACCAATTACTTAGTAAAAGTATAACTGAACACATGCATAAATAAACAGAGGAAGGCGTAATACCTCAATCAGCTTGATGATGTCTCGTGGTCCAATAACTTCAGAGTCGAATTTAATGTGCGCTTTGTTGGTTGCCAAGGCAACAGAGGCATAGATAATCCCCTTTTCTTTCATGAGGTTGGATTCAATTTTGTGAACACAAGAAGCGCACGTCATTCCCCTGACCTGAAAGAAGGTGAAGAGGAGCAGACAAGCAGATGAAGAGGTAGAAAATAATGAGAATATGAGGGGAGGAATGCACCTCATCTAGTGAATCCTTATTGAGAAATGTTTGTTTATGGTTTTGCATGCATGCATTAATGAACATAAAGTCAATGCAGCCTCACAGTGACTCACCACTAATTCAACGTTTCCACCTGAACCTTCATAGTTCTCCATAACAGAGGCGGTGAAGCCCAGCTCCTTCACACACTCGGCTACCTTCATAGGATCGGTGACTTCAGGGTTATAACGGACCTCTGCTTTACTCGCCATTAGTGCCACCAGAACAGAGTAGATACCTGCACAACATTACAGATATTCTCTTTATTTCCTAAGGAAAGCCAAAAAATTATCCTATCAAAAAAAAAAAAAAAACCCCCAAAAAACTTTAACACACCAGGTTCATTCTTGAGATTTCGCTCAATGTTTGACACACAGGAAGCACAGGTCATCCCTCCGATCTGGATGTAGCATTTAGAGTTGGTTTCTCCACTAAGTCCCTGGGGGGTTTCTTTGTGGTGGTCACTGTCCACCTCTTTACCTTTGACAGGTGCTATACTTGAAGACTTCGATGAAAGAGGATGTGGCGCAGGCAGCAGAGAGTTGGTCTCTGTTTACAAGAAGATTTCTTCATTAATGATGCTAATTTTGCTCACTAGCCTCTAAAAATAAAAGTGCTCTGGGCCTGAAACCATGTGGGTACTTAAATGCCAACATAATCGGTCCTCTTACCAGGCAGAAAGGCATCAAAGCCCATGTCCTCTATGGCCTCCCTCAACTCCTCTGGTGTGGTCAGCAGAGGGTCGTACTCAAAGATCCCCTGGTGATCAGTCAGAGAGACCTCGGCTGACATGACCCCTTTCTTTTGGGAGATCATGCCTTCAATGGACTGAACACAGGAGTTGCATGTCATGCCCTCAATGTGGATATTCACCACAGATCCCAGTGGCTGATTAAAACAAGGCTGCAAGACAGCAGGTTTAGCCTGGTTTGCTCCTGTAGGCCATGATGATGACGGTGGTAAAGTGCGAGCAGGTGATGTGGACACAGGACTGAGGGGACCGGAGGAGTCCCACGGTTGAGTCTTAAAGTTTCCTGGAGGCAGTGCTTCAATTGCCTGCTGCAGCTGAGTCACTGTGACCTTTTGGGGGTCATAGCAGATGGAGGCCTTCTCATTCTCCAAAGACACCTCCACAGAAGACACACCAGGCAGCACTGAGATATTGTCCTGAATGTTGACCACACAGGAACGGCAGTGCATGCCTTTGACCCTAAGCGCGACGAGCGTGGTGTCTATGAAGATTTCAGTCTCCTCCGAAGTCTCAGATGGCGACGAAATTGTTTGTTTTTGAGAATCAACAAAGCGCTCCATTTCACTGGGGGACAGCTGCAGGGGGCGGGGCTTAGACTTCACAAAGGCCTTGAATCCAACCACAGTAATTTGATCAATGATGGTTTGGACAGTGAGGAGGTAAGGCAGGTAGACGAGTGTAGCTTCCTGAGACTCTAAAACAACTGTGGAAGAGATGGAAACAGGAAAGTTAAAACAGAAGCACAAAGCAAATAAAAACAAATGAAATTCTTTGACAAGAAGCGGAAGCCACTGTGTGTGAAACAAGGACAAAGATGTTGGCAGAGAATCAGACACACGAGATACAATCGATGTGAGATCATTTTGATGGTCCAGCTTAAAGCTTCAGGAGACAAAGCCTTTGCTTCACTCTGAAGGCCGTTACACACTGAACATGTTGCATAAAAACAACACAAAATTCCAGATCTGAACTTGGCCTACATACAAACCAAACACGTTATATTTTTGTGGAACATTCGTCCTCAAATAAAACACGGACAGTGACAAAAAAAAAGAAAAAAAAAGTTCATCCTGATGTTTCCGAAACAAGAAAAGAAGGAAACAGAGAATCTGGGTTGATCAAATTCTCACGAGAAAGCAGCAGCGGGGACAATTTTACGCTTTGATCTAGAAGTTAAAACTGTATCACGCTCGCTTTCGTACATATTTCAGGATGTCAGTGGGGCACTTTGAGCTCTTTTATCAGAAATGGGACCACGCTTGAAGAGGGAGAGATAATTTCATTTCAGAGAGACGATTATGAGCCGGAGCAGTGTTTAGCCATGACGGCACTTGTTGCCAAATATACTGATCTGATTGGTCAGATCTGTTTATTTGGATCCAAAACATCAGAAAGTTAAACTACACATCCTGTATGAACGACTGCAAAAAGAATAGGTGAGCCCAAAAGATATTTTTAGCTCACAAAATATTTGAATGATTTTACATGTCCGGAGTTGTCTTATGCCAAAGTATGAATACCATGCAAAAAAACAAAAGAATCCTCTCCAATACTGAGCTTCAGGGCAACAAACTACAACAGTTAAAAACTGACTTCGAAAAATTTCAAATACGCATAACTTTTTCTGTTCTTTTTTATAAAGGAAAATAAATGTCATCATTACTATAAAACTTCCCTTTTTGCGTCAGTTTGAAACACATTTGACAGAGCAAACAGTACACTGACAGGCTGTGCAAACAACCACATTGAACGCAGGGATCATGCTGCACTCAACCACCATAATCCCGTCTACAAGTCATTCTTTCCAACCAGCCGGGATTTCATGAGTCATAATCATATCGTACTAAACAATCTCTACTTGCTGAACCTAAAGACAGCCTCGCTGATCCACAATGACATGACACCTGAGATGTAGGACGTGCAATTCAGCAGTCGCACTACAACATCTCTTCCAGCTCAGGCTGTAAAGTTATATATGACTGCAAGTTTGCAAATGGGTCGAGTACATCACCTTTGATCTTTTGAATCCCTTTGAGTTTACCAATCTTTCCTTCAATAGTGGTAATGCAGGAGTGACAGGTCATTCCTTCAATGCGCAGCTTAAGGATGGCCGCTCCACCTCGCGTGGTCTGAGATGGAGAGGAGGTGGGGTCTTTTTGCAAAGGGCTGCTCGGTGTGGAGATGTCCGGCGGTGTTACGCTGGCCACCGCCTCACTAAGCTGCTGCGTGGACGTCAGGGAGGGAACAAAGGTGACGGTGAGGCCCGTCTGTGGCAGGTTCTCTCTGACATCCAGCACTCCCTGAATTTGTGATAGTTTCTTCAATGCTTCCTGTTGGGCTGTGGGTGTCATGCCCGAGGTGGAGACCAACTGGATATCAGTAGGGACTGGTGTGGCTTTGCTGGAAGCTGGCAGACTTGATTCAAAGCCCATGTCCTCAATGGCCTCTGACAGAGACTCTGGGCTCTGATGGCTGGGGTCAAATATGACAGTTGCATTCTTGCCCTCTAAAGACACCTACAAAAGTGGAGTTGAAAGAGAAAATGTAAAATGGAGTCAACAAAATTGGAATAAATGCTAAGCTTAACCTTAATATGCAATATAGCTACATTTAAGATGTGGCTTCTATTTTATTCAAGCAACAATCAGATTTACCTCCAGTAATACTCTAAAGCACTTAATGCCGGTTCAGAGTTAATTCCGATACTATGAAAGGGATATTTTTGGTCTTGTGTGTAGCTATACAGATTCCTTAGATTTTATTATCACCTAACGCTTTTACTGTCTTGTCTCAGAACTAAACCTTTATTAAAACAAACAAACAAAAAAAAGAAAAGAAATGCATGACTTTGGCAAGCTCACAGCATGTGCTGTCAGCATGATCCCCTCAGATCTCACTTTAGCAAGAAAGAAACATGTGACACATTGAAGACATCGCCTGACTTGGCAGTAAGTTAACCAGCAAGTGAGTGAGTAAGTGTAGCTGCCTGCAGGGTTAACCTTTACTCTCAGAATAAAGGGGAAAAACTAATCCGACAATGACTGTTATACTAAGAACATAAAATAAATCTATTTACTCTTCGCAGATCTTGTCTGTATAGATTAATGTAAAATAATCCAGAACCTAAACTGTCTTAAGACACAAATGACATTTTCTGTGGATACACACAGACTGTATTGAGCTGATGTCACAGTCCCGCAAAGGGCAGAGCGCTATCTGGAACACACTATTACATTATCGTCTCATTTACCCTCAGCCTCAGGGGTAAACACACAATAAACAAAACAGCAGGCCTCAACTATTGCAATTAAACCCTCTCTCATGGCTACATTGATGCTACTTGGTTCTTAATCAGATGAGCGAGTCCCGAGGGGGTAAGATTAGGGTATCAATCAGGCCTAATACGGGTGGAAGGAACCTTTAGTTAATATACTTTTTTTCTTTATGAGATCTAATACATGGTTTTAAAATACTTGACCACTGTTACAACATCTAGTTATTTCAGATCCTGTAGTTAAACAGTAAGTATCACGAGGGAAGTATTGAGTCAGCAAAATGTTATTATCAGTTCCTCAACAAAGACTGCTGCATGACATTTAAACTAAAAATGAATTAAAACAAAATTCAAACCCACTAACCACCACAAACAGCTCTAAAGAGCCCACGTTTACCTTTATATGCATCACTCCAGGAAGAGACCCAATGCGCTGCTCTATGGACTGGACACAAGAGCCGCAGGTCATACCCTCCACTCCAAGAGAAACTGAACACAGGCTGCGTTTATGTGTCATGACTGTTTCCTAAAAGAACACAAGAAAGACAATGGTTTTCCCACCAAGTCTTTGCTTTGAGGAAAAAGATCACGAAAGCTGAGTAGAGAGAGACGGGGTAGTTCTTCTCGAAATGACAGTTACGTTAATGTATGGGGCAAACACAAACACGCATGCAAAACTAAACATACACGATGCCTTATATTACCAATAAAGTGTTTAATTTTAAATCGAGACATCCGTCAGGGTTATCTTTGCTTTACTAAAATAAAAAAGGCTTAACATCAGATATAAAAATTGCTCAGCTTAAAGTTTGCCTGTTTTTAAAAATGTGTCATCAGGGTGAATCTCCATTTTTATTTCTATAGCAAGGTTTGAAACTGTCAGAAAAAGACAGTAGGGTGATGTTATTCCATGTGCACAGCTGGTCTGCAGCTTTACAAAAACTAAACGAATTTTGTGACATTCAATTGGTGCTTCCAATTCTGGTACATTTACTAGACAAAAAGTGGAAACAAAACAAAGCTTTGTTTGTACAAGACGAGAATTGTTCCTGTACTTCCTTCCTGGCATGGACTAATCAGGTTGTCCAAACATTGCCGTCGAAGGTGAAGCTTGAAACATCATCCCAGTTTCATTTGGCTTACAATAACGTTCGTTTCGTTGATGGGCTGGAAACATATCTAAAGTTCAAGTTTTGGTGGATAAATAATGTTTAACTTAAGTATAATCTCTGTTATCCCCTCCTGGGCTTTGAGTGAATACTGTCACACCTACAGACGATCACTTACGGATCTGCCGCATAAACAGCACTCTTGGCTGTAGCTATAGCCGTTTAAAATCCCATGAAACGGATGAGGTCGGATCCTCAGTTCGGATCCGTTGAATGACATAAAGGGACTCGTATGACACTAGAGAGAAAGACCCGGGCCACGTTTAGAAAAAGCGAGACACCGATGAACTAATCTAGATAAACATTAAGTTAACACAGAAGAGGTAATTTAGTGAATGTTTTAATAGTTTTTAGAAAAAGGTCAGTTATATAAAAAACGCATCGACTACAATGGAACGTAAAGTATTTGTAAAGCTAGTTTGGTGACTTTGTCAGCCGTACGAAAAAGCTACTGATCCCTTTTGTGAGCAGTATTTGTAACAGAAAGTATCACCTCCACGGAGCTAAAAATACCAAAAATATTACCTAATGTCTTTTTAGGATTATATAGGAAACAATTCCGTCTCTTACTAGTTGCAATGCGGCCAACGTGACACCACAGAAATATCTGAGAAAAACTTACCGTCTCAGTTCACAGCGTGAAGCAAACTGTTAGCCACAGGCTAGTACTCCGACTGTCAGAGCAAGCTAACTAGCTGGTATCTACTCTTCATCCTACGTTACAGTCAACAAAGCGGACACGTCGCTGCATCGTGAGGACTGCTAGAAATAATTGACAGTGCTGGATTGAGAGTTTTCTTCCTCTATTATCACAGAACTCTGCTATGTGTAGCTGATTTTGTTGCGTCTCCTCATGCTGACGTGACGAGCGGCTGCATTCCTGTTTGTCCAGCGATAGAGGCGGAGCTAGGAGAGTTACGGCAACGTAAAAGGGTGTAGTTTTTCCCTGTACTTTGCCTACAAGGCTGTGGCGTTCTCTAAAAGTAGCCATCTTTTATATAAATCGCGGTTAGGTGTTGTTAGAGTAGATGTCATGCAAAGAAGTTACTAGTAAGTTAACGGGTTCGCTTTAGTGGACTCGAATTATCAGTCGACAGTTTAGTTTACGAGCCTTGAAGACGAAACTCAGGGTATAAACAAAGATCAATAACAGAAGAGAATTTATTTGTCCCATATTATTTATCCCATTTTTTTTTACTGCAGTCGAAATAATAATAATAATAATAATAATAATAATAATAATAATAATAATAATAATAATACATTTTAAGATGTATTCATGCTTTTTCTATGTTGCATTTTGCTTCTCATCTACCTACAGATATTAAGGTTGTTATAGGCAACAAAAATAAACACGAGACTGAATGTAAAAAATTAAGACTTAAACTATGGAACCTTGTTTCCTTCACTGAAAAAATAAGTAAATAAAGTAAACAATAAAATAATATTCAGGCAGCACTGAGTCAAAATGTCAAATTGTTATGTCTTTTTGGGTTTTTATCCCAAAACTTCAGGTTAGGTTTTTCAAAATGTCGAGTTACTCACTCTGACTTGTGAATAAGTTGAAATCTTAAACCTTAAACAGACCATTCTGTTGAATGTAAACCCTCCAGTATGTCTAAATTATCACAATTCTGCAAAAAAGAGTGGGACAAAATTTGAAAGAATAATTGCCAGTTATTGCAAATATTTGATTACAGTTCTTGCTGCCAAATGTGGTAGAAGACTGTTTTAGATTTTAGGGGTAATTACTTTTTTACGGGGGACGGGTAGATTTGGATAGTTGTTTTTCTCTTAATAAATGAAATCATCATTTAAAAAATTGCAGTTTGTATTTACTCGTGTTATCTTTTTAAAATCTGTTTTTGATGATTTGAAATATAGAAGAATGACAAATGTAAACTCCTGTGCAGCACCATCTTTCACATAATCAATCTGCTTCAGATTGTTCTTGTTTTCTATGATCTAAGTTTGATAATGTGGATCGCACAGTCTTATTAAACACATTACATCAGGTGGTGTGTGTGTCTGCATAAGACTTGTTTAAATTTATTCTTGCAGACAAAAGTTTTTCTCACTCTACTAATAATTTCTCATCAAAAGATTGGACTTTTGACATCAGGCACTTTGTGACACTGACTGCGAAAGATTCTTTGTAAATAAACCTCTCTTAGTTAAGACCCCAGGCTGCACAAGAGTCTGTGCCCAAGGTTTTCTATGTCAGTTTTCTACAAATTGTTCTTTTGCCTTTCCATTTCAAAATAATTTTGGAAATGCCCTGCACAATGTAGTCCCCAGAGTGATAAACATGACCATCTCTTCTTGTCTGCTCCTCCCTCTCTTGCTATTCCACTCTGCAAACTCAGACATGCAATAGGCCTAAAACACTGGGGTTGCCAAAAGCCCAAAGTTCTGTAAGGTACTGAGAAATAGCAGCCAAAGTCGGAGGAACAAACTGTGATTTACAACTTGATTAGGATTAACAGGTTAAAATAACAACAAAACCATGCCAGTATTTTTAAGAGCAGACTGACACCATATGACAGTATCCAGATGTAAACATCCGGTTTGTTTGATGTTTTTCACCTTGAGTTTGTAAACCCACACATGATTGCTATTTTTTTTAATGAGTTTAGATAAATGTAAACGTTTTTATCAGGTATAGTTGTTTTGCCATCTGCTTTAGATGTGCCAGTTTGTGAAGCAGCAAGATTCATAACACTAAGAAACCACCTGACGTCGTTTTCTAACTTTTCTTCACCGCTGACGGCCGCGGTTAATAAACTGCTTTAATCGGCACAGGTTCGATAATCAAGGGTTTATAAAGTGTGTTCCTATGTGGGGTTTTAATGAGCATGTCCACAAGATCACTCTCTCCGTCACACAAACACACGCACGCACGCACACTTTGACACACTGACCTAGTTTCTGTGTGCAAGCGTGCACACACTATCTTGTGCCCTCTGCTCATGAGGACAACAACACTCATTGAGTGACCACATAAATTAGAATTAGTATAAACAGTCCTTTCCGACTTCCTGAAATGTGAAAATATATGTCCTCTGCTCAGAACTGTTAATCTGTTTTTCTGCGCGCAAGATGGTGGTGGGAGATGCAGATCCATGTTTTCCTCAGCTCACGTGTACCGGCTGCTCGGCAGCGCCCGTCAAGCTGTCGCTAAAGTGAAGAGAGCTTATTATGGGAGCTGCTCCTGCTGTCCTATATCAACAGCAGCCAGCATTTCTGCAGTCATCTCCAGCCATGGCTCCAAGTGGACGCTGTCATCTCAGCTGGCAGAGCACGAAACCCTGCGGAAGGCGTCGTTTTTAAGCCGTTCGGGTAAGTAACTCTGAGCTTTATTGATATTTTGGACTGTGAGTAAAAGATCGATTGCGGAATTGGAGGAGGCTGGAGGAGAAGGGCTGTGTTACGATTCGGTCAGCTTTGCTGCAGACTCATAAATGCTCATAGGACACCTGCATTTATGCATTTTAAAGTTTCTGTTCAGATTTTTTTAAGCATGTGCAACATGCAATAATATGCAACGACGGTAACAACAACAGCAACACAATACAATGCAAGGAAAGCAATAGTAGTGGTAATAACAGAGGGACAATACTATAAATGGTTTTAAAACAGATTAGTATATTTCATAGTTAGTGAAACGCGAACACCATTAGCTGATACTTTATTTAAAAGACCTTCGTACATATTCTGGAGCCAGTATTGACTCTTGAATAAAAACAACATCAGCTCACAGACAGATTTTTACAGTAGGGTTAGTTTTTAGACACTTTTAGTTTATAGACTGGTCGCTGTTGCATTAAATTATGTCGGTGCTTATAGTGTCTAAAATTGTTTCTTCAAGTGTGGTGGTGGTAAGATAAAGGACAAAGAGTTCCGTTTTAATATCAAGTGCTATATATATATTACGTACCTTAAATTTGTGTTATACAGTGCTCATATGTCCTTTGACATAGTTGGTAGTTCATAAATCTAGTTCTGACAGCATTTATTTGTTTGAGTTTGCCTGTCATGTAACGCAGATAACATAGCGAGTTATATGTTAGAGAACTCTGTGCTTTTAGTGGATAAATATAAAGTTCTTTGTTCTTTTTAAAAATTATACTAAACAGAAAAAAATGTCATTTGCAAATACTGATTGTGTGGAAAAAAAGAGAAAATTCTCATTGGATCCAGACACATTTAAAACTCTAATTTATCAGCACGTTGGTAGCTCCATAGTTACACATTTGCCCAGCAAGCACAAGAACCCTGAACTCTGAAAGAAACCTGAGACTAGAAAAACACTCAAATTGGGGCTTTGACAGAAAGACAATCACGTGTAAAAATGTGGTGACTCCCTGTGAATAATGGAGCAGCCAAACACAGCTTCTTTATTATATCAGGGCTTTAAAAACATACAATTACAAAAGAAAATAATTAATGAAGCATTTCAGGAAGCTATAATTAAGTGGGTAAATAGTGTTAAAGCAGATAATTATAGAATTGGAGATGTTTGTCCCTAAACACAAAACCTGTTCAGTGCTACCAGCATAAACTGAGTTCACACTGTACTGCAATTCATAGCTTGTGTAATCCCAGCACAGTAAAATCTTAACCCTGCACTGCCCTTTTAAACACACCTTTGATTTTATGACACCACAGTGGGCTGATTTGCTTCAGAATGAAGCGAGGAAGGACAGGTCTGAAATCACAGTGCCAGATTTTCCCCTCCCTCGGAGAGCGGGCTAAGAGACCGAAGTGGATGACTCCAGCACAAGACTGGGGAAACCTGCCCCATCACGTCGTCCTGCAGATCTTCCAGCATCTGTCCCTGGTCGACCGGGCCAGGGCATCATCCGTGTGCCGGTGCTGGAATGACGTCTTTCACACCCCTGACCTGTGGAGGAAGTTTGAGTTTGAGCTCAATCAGCCAGCCACGTCCTACTTACGCTCCACTCACCCTGACCTCATTCAGCAGATCATCAAGAAGCATGCCCAACACCTGCAGTATGTTAGCTTCAAAGTAAGAGCCTCCCCTGCCGTCTCTCATTTCCTCTCACCTGTTTCACCTGCTGTGGCCTCTTTCTCTTCTTCCATTTTCACAACACACTGTCTTATAAACAATACCTGCCCTCCTTAATCTGAACTGCTGCAGAATTGAGCATCACATGTCAGCAGTCTTGGCATCGACGTGCTTAATTATCTCAAGTGATTCTTACACCTCAGTCTTTCATCAATTATTTTAATGTCTCTTTCCTCCTCTCCAAAATGTTGAATCACTGCTGGTAAATCAGGTGGACAGCTGCACCGAATCTGCAGAGGCAGCTTGTGACATTCTCTCTCAGCTAGTGAACTGCACCATCAAGACCCTGGGGCTGATTTCTACAGCACGGCCCAGCTTCATGGATGTATCTCAAGTAAGAAATGGCCTGTTTATATTTGATTTTTTTTTAACACACGTAATATATGCTGGTATTTCAAGTCATCATGAAGATTGTATTCACCTCTTCCCCTGGTGCATTATTATTTTTTGCACTTCCTGTAAAAAGATTTGCACAGTTTTCTACATCAGCAATAACAGATAATGAATCCTGGTTTGATGAACATCGTTGGTATCTCCTCAGGCCCATTTTGTGTCTGCCCTGACGGTGGTGTTCGTAAACTCCAAGTCATTATCCTCCATCAGGATCGATGACACCCCAGTGGATGATCCGTCCCTGAAGGTGCTGGTTGCCAACAACAGTGACACCCTTAAGTTGCTGAAGATGAGCAGCTGTCCTCATGTCTCCCCAGCTGGTTAGTACACCTGCAGTATTTTAGCTTCAAAGTGGGCACTGTGAATACTCATCAGCAAGATGCTCAATTTTGCTTTTCTCTAAAACATTAAGACACTCTTCTCTCTTTTTCATAAGGTATCTTGTGTGTGGCAGACCAGTGTCATGGCCTCAGGGAGCTGGCGTTGAACTACCATCTCCTAAGTGATGAGCTTCTTCTTGCCCTGTCTTCTGAAAAACACGTTCACTTGGAACACCTGCGCATTGACGTGGTGAGTGAAAACCCCGGCCAAACACATTTTCACACCATCAAGAGGAGCAGCTGGGAGGCTTTGATCCGCCACTCGCCGAAGGTCAACATAGTCATGTATTTCTACTTGTATGAGGAGGAGTTTGAGCCCTTTTTCTGCGAGGAGACCCCCGTCACCCACCTGTACTTTGGCCGAGCTGTTAGTAAAATGATGCTAGGCCGCATTGGACTGAACTGCCCTCGGCTGGTGGAGCTGGTTGTGTGCGCCAATGGCATTGAGCCCCTGGATGAGGAGCTAATCCGCATCGCAGAGCGCTGCAAGAGCTTGACAGCGATCGGGCTAGGCGAGTGTGAGGTGACCTGCAGTGGCTTTGTGGAGTTTGTGAAGATGTGCGGGGGCAGGCTGACACAGCTGTCAATCATGGAGGAGGTACTGATCCCAGACAGCAGCTATAACATAGAGCAGATCCACAGTGAGGTGTCGAAGCACCTCGGGCGGATGTGGTTTCCTGATATGATGCCCACCTGGTAGGCTGACATGAAGCCAGAACTATCAATGATGGCATTAAACTATGGTTACAGTTTACAATTTTAATAGACATAACATTTAGAAAAGGAAAAACGAAAAATCCATTTCAAGATGGCCCCTGACTGGAAAGCCCTGCTTGGAGAAAGACTTTGGGCCAGTGAACCACAGGCATATACGTTTGGCTTTGTGTAAGATTGGAACCCTGCTTTCCCAGGTGAAAATCCACTGCCAGCGCACCACCATCACCCTATCTCTATCATGTGAAAATTATTTGATTTCTTATGTTCTTGCACATTTGTCACACTTACATGTTTCAGATCATCAAACGAATCTTAATGTCATACAAAGAGTCAGAATGAATACAAAATGCAGTTTTTAAATAACAATTTAATTTATTAAGGGAACAAAAGCTATCCAAATCTACCTGATCCTGTGCGAAAGAGTAACTGACCCCTAAACCTAATAAGGGGTTGTGCCACTCTTGGCAACAAGAGCTGCAATCAAGTGTTTGTGATAATTTGCAATGATTTTTGCCCACTCTTCTTTGCAGAAGAGTTGTTTTTTTGAGCCATTCAGAGGTGGACCTGCTGATGTGTTTCAAATCATTACCGTGCTGCGTAACCCAAGTTTGATTGAGCTTCAGTCCATGAAATGATGACCAGAAATTCTCCTTCAGGATCTTCTGGTAGAGAGCAGAATTTATGGTTCCATTAATTACAGCAGGTCATCCAGGTCCTAAAGCAGATAGTTTGATTGCAGTTCTTGCTACCAACAGTGGCACAACCACTTATCAGGTTTAGGGGGAATTTGTCTTTCAAACAAGTGCCAGGTAGGTTTGGGTACCTCTTTTCTCTCTCTCAGTAAGTCATTGTTCAAAAAAACTGCAAAATGTACTTACTTCAGTTTTCTGTGTCTAATATTAAAATTTGTTTGGTGATGTGAAGCATGTAAGCATGAGAAATAAGCTGGGAAAAAAATTAGGAAAGGTGAAAACATTTCTTCACGGCGCGTCTTGGCCCGCTCACTATGGGTAATTTCTGTAGCTGTTGTGTACCATCAATGAATTTTATGTAAGAATAATACACTTCTCTGAAAATAGTTCATGCATAAAAACGTTTCATTGCTTTCTGTCTGTCACTAAATGTTGTAATGAAACATGTTGGTTGCAGCTGAATGATGGGCTACATTTTTAACCATGGTGTATAAAAGAGCGTGACGCTGCCATCTGCTGGGAAAAATCCCCCAAACATAATTCACAAGTTCTTTACGTTTCTACATCTTTCTGAAAATCTTAAAATTAATGAAATAATTAACCAGTTAATTTAAAACTCTTCCTCAAGTTACAGATTTTTCTGAATTTAACCACATTTGCATGCATTCAGGTGAGGACACTAACCACAGTGATACTGGTTCATTGGAGAAAGGACAGGAGTTTCCTGTTGAGCCGGAGCGAGTCACACCTCCATGGAAAACACAATGGGTCTCTTTTGTCTGTTGGCCTGTTTTACTTTGCTGTCTTTTCATTTAGTTGACAGGTGTTAAAAATCAGGTAATAGCAGGTATTTGACTAAAGGCTTTGAACAGAAATGAATATGCAGAACTCAGATTAGGTGATGTGGTGACGTGGTCAGTTTATGTTCTTTTCTTTTTTTCCTTTTTTAAAAAACAAAACATGTGCACTTAAAAAAAAGATTTGCTGTCCTCATAAACACGAAGCAATAATTTTGAGGCAAAGGCAGTTGAAATCGATCAAATCAAAGATTTATTTATTAAAATAAGTAATCATTAAACGAAATATGTTTGGTATAAAATGTACTACCAGACTCCTTTAAATGTAACATTACATGGAAAATTTACATGTAATCAAATTACTTAAAGTCAGCACTTTGGGCGTGATTTGTTTTTTGAGTGTTACATTTAGTTATTTATTTATTTTTTATTATTGTCCTGTGGGATTTAATATGTAGTTAGTTGGTTCTTTGCTTGTAAGAGAGTACCAACTTAAAACTGAAGTATTTGTATCAAATGTGATTACGACGATAGTTTTGTGCAAAAGGTACAAATGAACCATTACAGGCCCACGATGTGCAATGACACGCTGTCCACATACAGCTTTAAATATCTGTTTTGTATTTGTTTACTTTGCGTGGATGTAGTTAGTAGAAGAAGAATTGCTGTATACATTTATATCACTTATTGTTAGTGGTTTTTGTGTATGTGCAGCATTGATGTCAGCTTCATTGAAACTGCTTTTTATTCTACACAGGCTGTATTTAAATACTAATAATAAAAACATGTTTACATAACTTTAATGTTGCATGATCTCCTAAACAGTGAAGCCTGATCCAAGCTGACTTTGTCCCGTGTGACCTTTCTGCAGCACTTCGTTTTCAGCTCTAGAGGGCAGCAAAGATCTAACCGGAGGGGGGG